GCTCTATGGAAGAGCCACGAAGGTGACCACCCACCCTGGACCCTGAACTTTTAAACCCTAGTTGAGGTCAGGATGCTGGGAATCACTGGTGGTTGGCGCCGATCCCTCAGCATCTGGGAGTTTAGCGTATAGGTTGTGCAGGGAGTTGCCAGGGTTTGGTTCGAGGAGTTATGACTGGTTCAGATGGCGTTATGACGGCCTTGGTCATAGTGGCAGTTGCTGACAGTGACCGAGATGAAGACACTGCAGCGATTACCTGCCTGGCGTGAATATAGGGGCCTTACTAATTACCATACTATACTATTTTGGGGGTTCCTTATTATAATTAGAGCATAGTGGGCCCAAAACCCTATTCTAGTTCAGGCCCCTATGTTATACAACTCTTACAGATCCCTTGTAAAGCAATCCCTTCAAAGGAACCCTATGAAACCCTATTCCTAATTATTAAGGCCCCACATTGTTCTTCTGCCTGAAGGTTGGTGCTCAACCCTGGTGGTGGAGCACAGAAGGAGTCGACTTCCGTCGGGGCCCCAGGGGGTCGTGCTTTTGTTTAAGGGTGGGTTTAGGGTTTGGGGTTTAGGGGTTTAGGGTTTAGGGTTTCGTATGTAGGGGCACAAGATCAATCAATAACCAGCATCCTTAGATTTCCTGCGCACTTCGCCCATCAATGTAGATGCTGGGGATGGTAGCCATTGGTCATTGTGGCCATTTGTTGGACTGCGGGTCTTGGGTAGACGTGTGAGGTGAGGGGCGGTTTTGCGATGGAGCCTAAGGTACAAGGTACCCGTACCACCGAATAGTAATAGTAATTGTAATTGTAGTAGTAATAGTAATAGTAATAATAGTAATAATAGTAATAATAGTAATAATAGTAATAATAGTAATAATAGTAATAGTAATAGTAATAGTAATAGTAATAGTAATAGTAATCGTAATCGTAAGCGTAATCGTAATCGTAATCGTAATCGTAGTCGTAGTCGTAATCGTAATAGTAATAATAATAGTAATTAGTATTAGTAATAGTAATAATAATAGTAATAGTAATAGTAATAGTAATAGTAATAGTAATAGTAATAGTAATAGTAATAGTAATAGTAATAGTAGTAGTAATAGTAATAGTAATAGTAATAGTAATAGTAATAGTAATAGTAATAGTAATAGTAATAGTAATAGTAATAGTAATAATAATAGTAATAGTAATAGTAATAGTAATAGTAATAGTAATAGGAATAGGAATAGGAATAGGAATAGGAATAGGAATAGGAATAGGAATAGGAATAGTAATAGTAATAGTAATAGTAATAGTAGTAGTAATAGTAATCATATTCTGCCCAATCGTTTTACGAGCAGCTGTCTTTGTTCACCGGGAGACTTGTGCACGACTGGATCAAAGTGCCAGGGGTGCCAGGGTGCTGCCTGAATCGAAATAGGCTAACGCAACATCTAGATGAACACCTTGAGCCGGAAAAGCAAACGTCCCCCACACCGCCAGAAGTGCAAGTTCAAGATGACTTCAGAGCCAGACTCTGTCCTTTGTGGCCCTCTGCACTACTTTCTTTGGAGTAGCTTTGTGTGACGCTTTTAGGATAGAGTCTGGGAGTTTACGTGCCGCTTGTGCGAAATGCACGCAAAAGGCTTAGCAACACTTCCGATGCCAGCAAGGTGATGTGCCTGGATTCGATGCAGAGGTCGAAACCCCCAAAGGATTGATCCGTTGGTAGTTTTCGAAAATACAGATGAGGAGACCGATTTGATTTCTCTCGGAACCCTGATATTAGAACCCTACAATGCCCTATGACAATCCGGTAAGAAGCCCCATGCTACCCTTCAGCAGCTCTTCTTACTGGCTGCTCGCCCGCCAAAGAGTCGACCAACTGAAGCTGAAGTGTTCGACTATAGTCGCTCGTTGTATAAGTGGTCGTGGTAAGCCCGAATCTTATGACTTGGCCAAGAAAGTCTGTGAAAGCACAGTCATGCCTTTTGTAGACAACGCATCCACAGACGCTTTCCTAGGCCCTTAAACCTTAACTCTCTAAACCCCAAGACCCCCAACAATCCCTAAACCCATAAAGAAACATCTAAATCTTGACCCCTAAACCCCAGTTCTTCCAGTGTCAGTATTGGCACTTAAGCTCTTGAGGTGCATCAAAGGAGTAGGACCACAAAGAGGTACTAGCAAATAGGGTTTTGGGGACACATTGCAGTGCAGCTTTCTGCAGCTATATCGGGACATTAAGGCTGTATTTGACTGAGCAGTGTATGGAGTGGAGTGTCATGACAATACCGTGTCCTGATAATTACTTATACTATTCGTCATCTCGCAGTGCAAGTAACGTATCTTGAGTATGGCCGCACAAAGCACCCTCCACACCCTGCTTTTCTGCTTGAGGCGCCTATCTTAGTTGGATACGGTTGTTGAGCTCGAATCAGCTGCAAAAATCCTGCCGGGGCGCAGACGTGTCACGACCGTAAGCATGCGGGAAATTTGCTTCGGAGCAGCCTCTATTATCTGCATTCACAAACTTGAATGGTGAGAGAAAGGCTTGGTACATGAATTTCCTGTATAGCAAGGATCCCTGGGGAACAGTCTTGGTAGTTTTTGCTGTCGAGTTGGCTCATGTGCCAGGCGAGAAAAGATTTTAGATCCGCCGCTGACGGGGAGACCCTCGGCGCAAGTTTTTGACATTTGATTGGGGCATGGGCTAATGGTTCGGCCCGGTAACAGGGCCCTGTTTCAGGTCTTGTTTTATTTAGAGTTCAGGGCTCAGGGTTTAGGGTTTAGGGTAAGTCCGCAGATCAGTTTAAGTAGAGCTCTACGCTTAGCAGATACTCGGACTCAAGTTCTGGAGACTCTCCAGTATCCTGTGCTTTGGTGGCATATTGCATTTATCCAACTGAAGCCTGCGGAAGTCTAATATCAGCTCCTTCAGAAAGCATTATTCTATCAAACACTGCCGAAGCAAGTAGGCCTCCGATGTGGTGGGGATCGGCTCAGCACCTCTCACATTCCTGCTGATCTTCATTGCAAATGGGACCCAGCTAGTTCGATCCTCTCGTCTGATTTTTGTCATACATGGAACTTCCTGAAGTTTCGGGCTTCGAGTTGCTGGACTTTCTAAAACTGCGCATGAAGCAGGCGTCCAATCAGTTTTCATTAGGAGTACAGTAGTAGCCAGTAGTAGTAGCAGTAGCAGTTTTCCTCGCTCGGGGCGACTCAGCATGAGCCATCACAGGCCTGAAGAGCAGCATCAACCGGTACACCGTCACTGTGAAGAAGCATCTCGGCGAAGGGCCAGAGCTTCACACGAAGGTTTCAGGCGTCTTTGGAACGGTCTCGCTTGAGTTTGGGGTCCAACAGCGACAGCTAACCTCCGCCTTGTGTGCCTCCAGCATGCTTTCGAGCAGAAGCGCTGCGGGTTTATGAGCATCTTCGAGTTCATCAGGGTGGAGCAAGCCGGATACCTAGTCCGGCCCTGAGCAAACTTGCTCCGCAGAAGAAGGGGATCGTGACCCAGAGAATCGTTTCCCGAACATGTCCGGCTGTGTTGCATGTGGCCAGTTCAGCCCCGATGATGATTTCTCCACCCAGACCCAGGTCATCGTGAGCTTCAGGGCCGTTGGCGATGGAACACTGGGCCCGTTGCAGAAACCTGGTGCGCCCGAAGCTCGGGCCTGTCTTCCCCTGTTGGAGTTGTGAAGCTACTTTGGCAACTGCTGTACTGCAGCTACTTACTGCTGCTGCTGCTGCTCCAGCCGTAGAACGTGCAGATGGGCATTTGCACACGTTTCGTTTGACGGCGCCAAGTGGAATGATACCTGACTCCTGACGGCACGACATGGTTACGGTCGGACTGCCTGTGCAACTGGGTTGTTAGGCATAACAGCTAGAAGAAAGGTTTGGCTACGTTAAACTAATAGTATGACAGGGGCTATGATCCAGTGCAGTCCGCTTTTGATTTGCCCTAACAAGGGTACAATATGCTATAGTTCTAAGTCTCCATGCCACGGTTATATATATATATATATATATAGATAGACTAAGCCATGATAGGACCATATTTATGCTATACTGGTAGCTACTATAGTGCTGGTTACTCTAAGGGGCCACTATCTAATCACATCAGCAATAATACTACTAATAGTTAGAACAACAATAGCATGGGCGATGGTAGTGGTAATGAAAACGATATAGTAATAACCTCAAATATTCATGGTGGTATTATCAATAATACTAATTAATAGTCATTGGTAAAGACAATGGTAATCAACAATAAACATAGCAACAATAGCAATAGCAACAGTGCAATGATTAACAGTACTAATACGAATACTAATACTCATACTGCTAGTACTAGTAAGAAGTCAGAAGAAGAATGCTACTAGCAATAACCAGATTAGATACTGACAAAAATATCGACTAAAATGACAAGACTACTTAAAACTACACATGAGAATAGTAATACACCCAGGTCCCGTCTCGTTGCTGACGGCGTGGAGTGCAAGAATCCGCAGCTAGGCGGCCGGTTTGGGGTTCAAGGTTTATAAGGGAGTTTCCGAAAATTAGGGGTACCTCATTTCGGGGCCCTTATAAGAAGGATCCTACTATTTAGGGTACCATATAAGGGTCCCCTATTTCGGAAACTCCCATAAGGTCTAGGATTTAAGATTTAGGGTTTAGGGTTTGAGGATCTAGGGTTTCGGGTTAAGGCTTGGGGTTGAGGGTTTGAAGAGTGGGATCTAAGGTTTCGGCTTGGGGTTTCGGATTTGAGGTTTCGGTTTAGGGTTGCGGATTTAAGGTTTCGGTGTAGGGTTTAGGATGTAAGGTTTCGGTTTAGTGTTTGGGTTTTACGGCTCAGGGTGGCCCGGCTGGCAGCTGCTTGATGTTGTCTGGCGTTTCGGTATCATCAGTTTGACATGTCGCTTTCATGCTGCTCCTGCTGATTCTGTTGTTGAGTGATTCCCATGTGACCTGCCTTTGTAAACCAGCTCTTCGAATCAACATGGCCGGCGGCGACGGTGTCGCGGGGGCCTTGTCTACCGGCTCTACCCCTCGCATCACGGGGCGAAGGATCTCAGCCTGTCCTCAGAGCTCTGAGGCCGGAGAGTACGATGGGACTCTGAGCTTCTCCCTGGACGGAAGGCCCAGAGAGCCCTTAGAGCTTCAACCCGAAGCCTAAGCCCAAGTGTGAGATGCTAGGGTGCGATCCTCCAGCTTCGTGCTCCACTACGGGGAGGCCCGGACCCGCCAAGGGGTGCAGGGGCGACTCAAGGGTTTCAGGATTTGAGGAAGGGAGCCAGGGTTCGCTTTTCACTAGGAGTCCCATGGGTTCCGAGAGGGCTGCGACAAGGGCGGCTTCAAGGTTTGCGATGATAGCTAAGTGATAAGGGACTACAAGGCTGTTCACTGAATCCCTTTCCTAGTCCGTGTGCCGGCGATGTCCCTTCGCGCAAGACGGGCTACTCGCCGATCACTCTCCAGTTCGACCCGTTTGCCCTGACAAAGCTGCAGAAGGACCCATTTTGTTTTTATAAGGGGCCTAGTATTACCCATACTATTTTGGGGTTCCTTAATATAACTATAGTATAAGATACCCCAACACCCTAAGTCTTCTAATCATCAAGGCGTAATATAGAGGCCCTAGTCATTAAGGCCTCTATATTACTTTGCTTCTGACAAAGGTGGTCGCCCAGGAGGAAGAGGAACTATGAGTGGTTGATGAACTACGGTTACATAGGGATTGTAAGGGTAGATATATCTGCCTACATCTATATCTGTATGTGTATATGCGAATGTACAGCATATATACATATATATATATATATGTATATTATGAAAAAAGTTGTACCATGAGTACACAGGGACGGCAGCGGCAAGTGCGAATTCTGGATTCTGGACGATCGTTGTAGCTGGCAGGACGTCTCGCGCTTCGTGGGTGGATACCTGGCCAAAGAGTGGGAGGCCGCTTGAAAGGAAGCCCAGTAGTTCCACAGGTTTTTCCTATCGCAACTCATGTTGAAGACTCCCAAAATCCCACTATACTTAGTATACTATACGCATGCAGTCCCTCTATTACTGCAGTATACCATACCACCAACATTCCATCATCGTCTCTCAGGTTTCGAAGCCCTTTCCCCCAGGAGGCTAAGATCTGCATTCACCTGTGTAGGTCAATGGGCCAGATAGGAAGAAGCGCTACGAGAAGACGTCGGCCGGGGTTCTCAGCTTTTCTTGGACGAAGAAACTTGCATTGCCCATTATAAGGATTATACCACAGTTCCCATAGTTTAGAGTCCTTAGGGTCATGCAGGATTTTGTCCATCAGCAGTATGAAAGTGTTGGTCTTGGGCAGCAGCGACTTGGCTGTGGCCTCGTTTCGACTATGAGCCCGAAGGACTTTCCGATGTAGCGGTTGCAAGTTGAGGGCACAGAGAGCCAAGAACTTACCCGAAGACCTACCCACCCCCGTCAGCCTGAAGAAGCCACACTTTACCGAAATGACGAAGGTAAGCATAACCTCATGATCAGATATGATACCATCAGTATGTTGGTCTCCTATCTTATGCAGCAATGACAAGCCTCAGTGTTTGTAGCAACTGGTACCACATGATGCGGCGAGTTGCACAGGTTTGGCTTCATAAATGCTGAGAGCCATGCATAGGTACTTTCACTGTTGAACCGTATCACAGCACATTAATATGTAATTCCTGCTTGTTCACTAGCTTGCACGACAACAACCGCCCAGTATCTCATTCAGAGCGATGAGTGGACAACGGTCTTCCCTTTGCTTGTCGCCTTTCTGGCCTGGAGAGTCTCAAAGGCACGGTTTTGCTTTCGACAAAGTGTCTTCCCTATGCTCCCCGTCGCCAACCTCGTCCAAGACTTATGCAGATCGCACGCTCCAGTAGATAGCCATGATGTGAAACCCTCTGTGGCTTTGCTCCTCGTGCCTAGGCACGGGCCCTTGTTGCAGATGTCCACCAGCAGGAGCTTTCGCCGACAGCTGCGTTTGGGTTTGCGATGGTAGTGATGGCGACCGAAGCAAGTTGATTTTCACCTGGCTTTCATGTTAAAGACTGTCGGAATCAGTAGTAGTGGTACTCGTAGTAGCAGTAGTAGTATTAGTACTATTAGTAGCATAGCAGCAGAGGGTGGGGATGAGGACAAGGATGAGGATGCTTCTGCACGGTGGTGCTTAATATCGGAGCCTAAATAAACAACCTATACTATTTTGGGGGTTCCTTGCTGTAATTAATGCAGAATGGGCCCAAAACCCTATTGTAATTATTGAGGCCGCTATATTACGGGCTCCTGTTGTTGCTGCTGCTGGTGTTGCGATTGTTAGGTCAGTCGTGCCGTTTGCTGCATGAACCGGTACATGTTTGCGACACCTGGCAGGAAAACCTGAATGACTGCGGTGTTTTCGTGCTGGAGAACATGTTGCGGTCGGCAGCTCTGTAAATTCTGCGCATGCCCCTCGGTACCATGAATGAGCAAGACAAGCAGTTTCCATCCAGAACGGCAGCATCAGATACGACATCAAGATGCGGCCGTGCCTGCGCTGCAGGTCACTGTCCATGAAGAAGGATTTCTTGAAGCAGATGTCCTCAGCAACGCCGCAAGTGAGCCCTCTACAGCCCTTTACCTCTTCTGCATGTGTTAAGGAAGACATGACGGTTGGTCGTGCAGATGACTTCCACTTGCACCAGAGGCTAGACACAGCAAGTTAAAGTGATCCACAGTCTCCAAGTCCAGACTCGAACAGACCCAGCAGCCTGTTTCTTATCCTTTTCAGAGACATCGCGGAAGTGCGAGTTTTGTGGGTTTAGATGTTCAGTGCTTGGGGTAGCATACTGCTTCTTTTCTGTTCTACAGCGCTGGTATCTGCATCGCGTGCTTGTCGTCCTGGTTCCGCTATTTTCCTATGCGAAGACCAGCAGCTCAGAGAACGCAGCTGGTGGTTGTGCTTTCTTCATCCACATCTCAAACGCTGCGCGCTCCTTTGCAATCACCGTTGCATGCTGATCAAGAGATGCCAAACACATGATAGAATGTTGGAGCTAGACGGGTTTAAACAAGGAGCCCGATGGGTTGAGGCATGTTCACCATGGCGGGGCAGGCACTTGCTCCTAAGCCCTGAGCCCCAAATCCTTACTTCCGAAGCCCTCAACCCTAAATGCCCCCAGCTGTAGTCTGGAGGTATCTTTCCGGGAGTCTTTTTGAGATACCCCAGGAGCGAGCAAGCAGCAAAGGTATCTAAAACCCTGGCCTCCCAGCGTGAGCTCTGGACTAGTCCACAAACTCTTCGGCCGCAGATCGTCCCTTAGCACAAACTCTAGACAACAACTACTAGCTTTAGGATGTTCTCGCCATGTGGGACATTTCATTCTCGGAGCCCTCTGCCCGACTCTCAGACACAGTCAACAGGTATCCAAGCGCTTTGATTTCCGAGTATTTGTCCTAATTTCGACAACTTCCCACACCGTGCATTGCTGCTGTGGCTCAGTGCGATTTTGAAAGCACTGGCTGTTCCAGTCGCTGCTGTCGGTGTCGTCGCGACGGGAATCATATCCTCACGAACATGTCGAACCTGAGGTAAGATGTCGCGGTACATCCAGCTGGCCTCGTGCTTCTTCCTGTGGCCCGTACATGGCGCCAGCAACTGTGCCAAGATGGCGGGCTGTTGGAACCTACAAGGCGCTCGCAGGATGTCGTGAGGTTTCATTCATGGTCGGTCCTAGCACGCTGCAGCCGGAGCAGCAGATCAAACTAATTTATTCTGGCACTAAAGTTGAGTAGTGTGTGGTAGTACCAACACCTGTCGCTGCAGTACCGGTTGTTGTGTCGTTCGTACATGGTGGTGGTGGCCGAAAGGGAATATCCTCATAATATGACATGTAGTTCGGCTTATACTGCGATTATACTTACAGAAGAGAAGATACCCTAAACCCTACTTACAGGATCATGTGACTTAGAACTAGGGTTATAATTAGGGTAACTATACTTATAACCCCAATTGAGGTACTTATAATCTTATTTACTAAGTCCCATGATCCTCCAAGTAAGAGAACCTTCGGAGCCGCGCTCCGGTCAGGGGGAGACCAGCTTCGTCCCATCCTCGCCGCTCGGAGCTGCATTTCTTTTGCTTGGGCATGCAACGTTTTTAGGGTTTCGGGCTTTGGGGTTAGGGGTTAAGGCGTTAAGGCGGCTAAGGGGTTAAGGGGTTATGGGTTCAGGTTTATATAGGGGTTGCCGGGCAATTCCTCGAAGGCAAACAAGTCGGTTACGTTCTTTTGGAGCCGCTGCGAGTTGTATCGGTCGCCGCAAGACAGGGCACTACCACCCGACCTCCCCCTATCTCTTGGGGTTGAGAGCTTCAGCTCAAGATTCTCAACCGGAGCCACGTTCCTCCAAACCCTAAACTCCAAACCCCTAAACCCTAAACCCTGAGGAAGGAGAGCAGCAATTCCTCGACGACAACAGAGCCTGTGCTTTCGGCCACGTAGCCAAGGACAGCGCCGCAGAGCGTGCTTGTGCTTTTGGGCGTCTCCAGACTTCTCTTCCTCCGACTGCCATAGTCTTTCTACCCACAAAACCCATCTTGGGGTTTCCTTACTAGAATTATAGTATCATGGGCCCCAAAACCCTATTCTAAGTATTAAGGCCGCTATACTAAACCCTAAACCGTACAGCTCCAGGGCCTCGAGTGCAAGACTGGGCCATCGTGTGGCTACACTTGGTACGAATGCATTTGCATCAGTGGGGGCCCCAGCATGGAAAGTCTCATCCAGCTCCATCAGGCGATGGATTGTGGCCTGCAGCTGAGCTCACGAAGCGCCGTGCGGCCTTTCCTATTCCTTGCCGTTGCTGCGGTTTAGCGTTTACCGGGCGCTGGATCGAAGGGCTGTGCAGATGTATCCAGATGTCTCAGGTCGCGAGGCGGCCGCCGAAAATGCTGCGGGCGCGAAAACTGCTAGGATTGCCTTCGGGGCCGCCGCTGCCGGCCACTTGACTCGCAGATGATGTGTTGTTTTTGACTGCGGTCGACTTGGACCGAATGCTGTTGCTGTTAGCAAATTCACTTGAGCTTGTTGAACCCTTTAGGGAGAGCGCGGATGCATAGGTTACAGGCATACAAGTTCTTCGGGCCCACGCCTGTTTGATCTTTTGCTGGCTGCACTGAGCAGAATAAGCTGGAGGATCCTTAATTTGGCCGGAGACAACCGCATAGTTGCATTCTTCCGCACGCTATTCCCATGGGCGTTTCTGTCGATAGCCACCGTAGTGTTTAGACTGATTTTTTGTTGTTGTTATGGTTGTGGTTCTTCTTGTGAAAGTGCTTCTTCGTCGTCTTGTTGTTGTGGTTGTTGTTTTGGGTTGTTGTTGTTGTTGTTGTCGTTGTTGTTGTTGTTGTTGTTGTTGTTGTTGTTGTTGTTGTTGTTGTTGTTGCTGCTGCTGCTGCTGCTGTTGTTGTTGTTGTTGTTGTTGTTGTTGTTGTTGTTGTTGTTGTTGTTGTTGTTGTTGTTGTTGTTGTTGTTGTTGTTGTTGTTGTTGTTGTTGTTGTTGTTGTTGTTGTTGTTGTTGTTGTTGTTGTTGTTGTTGTTGTTGTTGTTGTTGTTGTTGTTGTTGTTGTTGTTGTTGTTGTTGTTGTTGTTGTTGTTGTTGTTGTTGTTGTTGTTGTTGTTGTTGTTGTTGTTGTTGTTGTTGTTGTTGTTGTTGTTGTTGTTGTTGTTGTTGTTGTTGTTACTGCTGCTGCGGGTGTTGTTGTTGTTGTTGTTGCTACTGCTGCTGCGGGTGTTGTTGTTGTTGTTGCTGTTGCTGTCGTGGGTGTCGTTATCGTCGTCGTCGTCCTGGTGGGTGTTGGTGCCGTTGTTTCCTACCAACTAGCTAATTAACTGTCTTGAACCTAGGAGACGGGTCATATTGTGATACAGTGCTTTGTTGTCCTCATCATCATGAATACTCATTGCATCCAGCCCCGATCCCCCTGCAGGCATCGCCTTCAGCATTTGGATTTGCGTGGGGGTCGTGACGCCTGGCTTGGAAAATTTCATGGATGCCTTCCCCGCTGCACCGAAGTTGTTCGGCCTCCACAGGAGCAAAAGCTAGAGCTGCTGCGGCCAATGCTTGCCCCGCACTTCTAGGGAGAGACATCAGGCTTCAGATTCTGTAGGAGCTGTATTCAATCTCCAGTGCATGAAGTAGTCATTGGCAGTGCGGCAGCAGTTTGGCAGTGCGGCAGCAGTTTGGTTGCAAATAACACATGTGATTTAACGACCCTCCGGTTTGCGAGCCTTGCGGTCCCCTGACTTAACCCCTGTGGCAACCTCAGAAACCCCAACCTCAAAGCCTTGCAGAGCAACGCCTTAAGCCCAAGATGGACTTCATGTCGCTTTATATACCCCTAAACCCCTAAACCCAAGACCATAAACCCTACACCCTAACCCCAAACCCTAAGCCCGTCCCAGCCGCAACTCGGATCCCTCACGCCGAGGAAGATGACTCGCGGGGCGGACTCCGCCAAAATAGTACCTTCGGGCTTCGGTCCCGGTGCGAGATCGCTAGGCGGGCTAGGGTAGCCCTAAACCCTAAACCCGTGAAGGCTGTGGGGATTTGTAGGTTGAGTTAGCATGGTCTGTCGTAAATAGTTAAGGGGAGGGTTTACGATTTAGGGGTTAGGTGAAACGTAAACTCCAGACACTTGCGGGACTCAGAGTTCCGGAGTGGTTTGCCTCCCGTCCCTGAGTGCTCGAGGTACAATCGCATGGAAAGGCGCGCCCCAGGTCCCAAAGCCAATAGCAACCCTGACAGTAGCACCCTAAACTAGTATTGGCGAAAGGAAGAGGAACAGGAACAGCAATAGGAATACAAATTTCTAGTGATACGATTAAGAGTAGGACGAAGTCCAAGAATACATTAGCCCAATATATTCAGCGTTAAGATGTGTCAAGCGCAGGCATGCCGAACAGCGAGGTTCCAATCAGGTCTTCACTGCCTGAGAAGCCCACATGACGCATTAAGAGGGGGTCTGAATCTTTACTCACAGCAGCCGCTTGCAGTCCCTTCTAACCCGAAAACTGTACTCTAATACTAAGTCCCCTACCCTAAGCCCGTAACCCCGAAACCCTAAAACCCCGGAACCCCTAATTAAACCCTAAACCCCTAAACACTGAACCCCTAGATACCAGTGTCTGGCAGTGTCTCGCCATGCAAGGCGCTGCATCACAGAATCGCTTCAGTGCCATCTGCGTGGAGCAGGGGCAGGGCCCCGTCGTCACCTGGCTGGGCCTGTCCTTTTGGAGTTTCAGAAAATTATATAGGAAACCTAATATAGGGGCCTTGATATTTAGAATAGGATTTGGTGCCATTATACTATAATTACATGCAAGGAACCCCGCAAAATAGTATCGGTTATTCTGAAGGCCTCTACAGTACTGTGTAGAGCACGAAATACTAGGATCATTAGAAGGTGCCTCAGTTGGGATGCACCGTGCACTAGCTACGTACCTTTGTGAAATCATGAGTGCTGAAGCCCGGAGGGCATTTCCACTGCAAGTTGGAATTTTCTCGAAAGCTTGTCGTGGGCTCTCATAAGTTGCATCTAGGTTGTGGACGACGCTGTTGCGAAGCAGCCAGCAAAATCTTGGGAGACTCATCTGCAAAGATCTCGGTGCACTGCGCTCCGTCAAAAGCTTTGCCGTCGGCTTGTGAAGTTGGCTTGTATTTAAGTGGTCATTCAAGCAGCAGCGTGGGCAGGACCAGGTTCAGGACGTTTCGAGGAAAATCGAAGGCCAAGAGCAGCAAGCAGGTAGAGATGGCTAAGTGTCCAGCTGCTGAAGGGCGACGTGGGCAGGTGGTGCGTGTAGGATTGGAATCCAAGAAGGAGAGTAGACATAACGGTGTCAGTTTTCGTTGCACGAATAACCATTGCGGTAACTATGATGCTAGCCGCAATGGTTCTGCTCAGCGATTTGCCAAGGATTGTCTGACGGTCTTGGTGCTTGGTGTGTTACCGGCTGTCCTCATCATCGCAGGTGGCTGACTTGCACACTCCAGGTAATATGGGGGCCTAAATAGCTGCCAATATTTTTTTGGGGGTTCCTTATTGTTAAACAAAAGGTATAATGGGCCCCCAAACTCCATCCTAATTATCAAGGCCCCCATAGCAAGGGGGACGAGGGTCTCATTCGAGGATCGCTGCCAGGACGAACGGGAAGCAGTTTAACTATTCATCTAACAGATGGTTGTAGCTCATATGTCAAACATGCTTGCTGACTTGTTCAGAAAGCTGAGCGATACACCTGCGTGGATCAAATTGCCTGGAATCACGAACTGCCGTTGTCAAAAATAATTCATCACGGGTTCGTGTTTGCTCTCTTATTCCATAGAGGTGCAGGGGCCTGGATAGTTACCCCTACTAATTTGGAGGTTCCTTGTTATAATAAAAGTATAGCGGGCCCCAAAACCTATTCCTAAATATTAAGGAACCTGTATTGAACCCTTTTGGTAGCCCTGAAAGTAACCCAATTATAGACCATTCATTAAAAAATAGTCTAATTATTCAGGCACCTGGACCTAGATAAGCAGTCTTTCAGCTGGACCAGCCCTCATGGATGCCCAGGTATTGCCATCATGGTGGCCGGCATGACAATCAACGAGAAAGGGCTGCCCGGATGAAGGTAGAATCAGGGTTTAGTTTAGGGTTTAGGCTTCCTGGCTTGTTTTGCATTTTGGGGTTTGGGGGTTTAGGGTTGCTTCATAGCATCCGTTACAAGCCAAGAGGATATGAGTTCCAAACTGGCCACTGCTGAGGTACTTCAACGGTTGCCGCATCTAGCTGCGAAGCGCTGAGAAGACCCACACAGGTGGAAGAGTTCATCTTCCACAACCGTTCAGGCACTGGGCATCTTTAGGTGAACATGCCCTTCATGTATCTTCCGGGTGGATTGTAGATGTAATTCTTTCGGGCCCTGGTGCAATGAATGAAGACAGCGCCCGGCATGCTAAACTCAGTGCTTGGACTCTAACGAGCCCTTGGCAACGAACTTTTTTAATGTTCGGCAGCGAGACTGCCTGGGCGATTTTCACTTATCCAGCCAAGAGCCTGGATACCATTTTCAGGCCAAGGTCCGATCCACATGTGCTAGAGCAGAAATACCTTTCGACGTCAAGGCCTTTCGGTAGCCGCTCGCGTAGTCCGCAAGAGCCACCTGAAAGACCGCGACAGTCGCACTCAGTTCAGACAGCGGAAGCACCGGTCCAGCCCCAGATCTTGAAGCCTTTTAGCCCCCAACCCTGAACCCTGAGCCCTGAACCTTAAACCCTTTAAACCTAATGACCACGTCCCTCATCATCTCGAAACAGAAAAATCTTACAATCCCCAGCTAATCCTTCAAAAAGGAATCAGATCTTTCAGCCCAAAGCGCTAGAAACTTAAATCTCTACAGTAGACCCCAGAAGCGGGAATGGAACGGGGTTCGGCCAGCGAGAAAGGGCCTCCACTTAAGTAAACATAATTGGCAAAGCATTCCTTTTCAGGGGTCCTGTAAGGGGCCGTAACAATTGGAATAGGATTCCTTTGAAGGGGGTCCTGTAAGGGCTCTACACTCAAGCGTCAAGGCGGTTCAGGGTTCTAATGTGGGAAGGAAACAATAAAAGTAGGGTTTTGGAGTTCACTACAGTATAATGGTAAAGGCATATCGGGACTGTAAGGGGATAGTATTTACAATCATTCCTATCAAGCAAGATGTATGAACAAACTGCGAACTTTGATGATCATAGTGACCGTAGCCGGCAGTAACCCCTAAACCCTAAGCTGTCATAACAATAATTAAAACTAGTGGGTCAGTCTATGCCGTCTCTGGTTGGATGTGCCTCCAGCCGGAGTTCATGGCGAGCCTCCGACGCCGTGCTGGTTCGTCTCTGAAAGGTTTTGCGGGTACTGGGCCTAAACTCTAAACCCGTGGAATGATAGGAACTTTCTACTTTGCTTGGCATGTGTGGTTGATGCTATGATGAAGGTTTGTTTGAATACTGCTTCTAAGTAGCCCTTCTCATTGATGGTTCCGGGATGCTTGGTGAGGCCTAAGCCTTGCAACATGAGTTTGGTGTCGGGTCGCAGGGTGATGTACATTCTTACATCGCCACTGGTAGAACTGTCAACTTTTTGGCTTCTCATATTTGGTCTCTGTTGAACGTTTGAGCTTTTTTGGCCCGGTTATTAGCTTTGGTATAGCTCTAGCCATATTGGCAGTACAGATGGCAGCACCATCACGGCCGAAGGAGTTGTGGCCATGGCGGCGTCTGGGTTCCTGTAGACTTTGAGCCGTAGGTGCTCCTGAAACTCAGCCCCAACATCAGTACTCGGGTGACATTTCTGGACGGATGACTGCCTTCTTTCCCTGCAGACAGCGCGTGCGAATATGCATCCACATTGCTCGCTTCGCACGTGTCGAATGCCGCTGATGGACCATTCTAGAGACAGTCCCCAACGTTTGTTATGCGAGTTCATGTTAAGCTGCCTCAAAACCTCCAACAAAGTGGAAAGTGTGAGATTCTGATTCGGGACGATACCGTTTGCCCAATTTCGACACTGAAGCTTACTTGTTCCTTCACACGCATGAAAGCATGACTGTCGATTTCGATCCTTTCCCAGTCATGCTGCCTGAAATGTTCCATGCCAATGTCCGTGAGTTTCGAAACCCAGCCGCAGTAGGATGCTCACCCCCAGCATAAAAGCTGTCGAAAGTGCACGGAAGTGCAAGAAGATGCCCTAAACCCTAAACCCTTGGGTGATACCATCTCATATGATGCGAAATCATGGAGTTGAGGCCTTCCATGCCCCCAACCCACCCGCTCAAGCTGGGCGCACCTGGTGCCTTCTATTTGCTATAATGTGCTTGCAAGTTCCGGCAGTCGGATATTGCTAGTCAAATCAGATTCAAGCAGGGAATGGTACGGGTCGTGGTGATATGAGTGTCCCGGCCCAGCTTCAAGAGCATGCCTACGACGCACAGCAGTGCGAATTCAGTGCTTTTTTCTGCGAGCTCCTTGTGGGCGGCTTGCGAATGTCGACTTGGCTTTGATGCAAAACATCACTCGTAGTCACCTTTGCAGCATCGGCTGTGCGGTACAAGACTTTATTCTCATGTCCTAAATGGTGCCTTCCTGTGCATCACCTCACGTCCCATAGGGCTGAACTCCACCTGCCGCTCCTCAACGGGAGCTGATGATGTAAAGGCACCGTTAACGCGAGGCGGGCCTGGCTATCCTAACCCCCTGGGAGCCGTCAAGGAAGGACCAGATAGGTATAGATCTGTATAGCATCTATACTATAGTATATATATATATATATACATACATACATACATACACACACATAGGTGTATATATATATATATATACATACATATACACACACACATAGGTGTATATATATATATATATATATGTATATGCATACATATATATATATATATACATACAGATCTAGCAATCTTGAATGGTATGTGTATATAACAGCTACAATGTCAGAGTATGTTACATGTACATACTCATAACTGTTAGTAGTCTTCTTAACATTCGAGATTGAGACGTTGTAGTCGACTTACATTAGCCGTTTCTCCTCATAGCTCGCATGTGGGTATGTCTCCTGACCAAAGCCCCTAAACCCTAAACCCCTAAATCCTAAATCCCTGATCAGGCACCGGGGTGAGGAGGGCTAAAAACCCCTCGCGATCTCCAACTCGCATCTGCGGGAAAATGCCGTGCTAAGCATGTAGATGCGCAGTGCAGGGTTTAGGGTGTAGGGTTTAGGGTGTAGAGGGTGTGTGAGTTTGCCAGAGAACATGCCCAAACGACAAGGCTTGCTCCAGAGTGGTGTTAATCGCAGAGTTGCCGTGGTTCCAGCAGGCCCATGATATATGAAGACTGTCAACATGCAGGTGGCCTAGCAAGCACCGATTCCGACTTTCACGGAGCAGCGTGAGCGATCCTCCCGCCCTTTGACGGCTCGAGTTTCAGTAGGTCAGAACTGGCAGAAGCCAGCGAGAAGCAGGATGCTTGAGGTGTTTAGCCTGTATGTTGAGTATGCGGCTGTGGCAACATCCTTGTGTTTTCTCCTGTCACCGCTTGTGGAGGTGCAGAAGGTGCATCGCTCTCAGGGCGAGACGCTGAGGGATGTTGACCCATCGAACCTACTCCTCCTGCTTGTCAACTCTGCACTTTGGCTTTGGTATGCCATCTTCTATCCGCTTCCGCCATTAGTGCTAAACAACACCATTGGACTGACAGCATGCTGCTACTGCTTGACGAGCTGCTGGTTCTATGCACGTCGGCGCCGTGAGCAGACATGGGGGACAGCCGCAGCTGCCAGCACCGTCCTGGCATTTATGGCAATCCTTACAGCCCTCGTCTATGCAGAGACGTCATCCTCGCACGCCCAGCAAGTTGGATACTTGGCCATGGCAGCGAACATCCTAGCTTATGGAGCCCCGCTCGCAGCGGCACGCCGAGTGCTTGTTGAGAAGTGCTCTCGGGCTCTGCCACCTGCGCAGTGCGTCCTCGCACTTTCCAGCAGTTTCCTGTGGCTATGTGTTGGCCTCAAAAAGCAAAGCATGCCGATGATCGTCCCAAACGCATGTGGTGTCCCCCTGGCGATCATACAACTCTTACTCATCTGCTTCTATCCTCGCAATCAGCGTGCCGGCGCAGAGCTTGTGAACAGCCGGGCGGAAGCCCAAGCCAATACTGTTAGTTGGCAACTGTACAGATGTAGACAGAGCTTCGGTGTTCCAGAGGGGAAGATTGCAACCGTGGTCCCAAATTTTCACTACACGGCGAGTGCAAGTTTCCGTGCTTGTGTGTAGCAGGGGTGTGTGTATAGAAAACGTGCTTGCGCATCGTCGCACGCCGCACAGTCATTTTTCTGCAAACTTCATACGAGGGCTGTTGGAACCGACCTGGTGGCTAAGCAAGCAACTACCAGCGAAGCTTCTGCTATGAAGTTTGGTTTAGGAGGCAAAAACTTCATGTACCACCTGGCACTTGAGGAAAAGATTGGCGACTCTCTGAGTTTGATCCGACCCAGGGGCTGGAATACAGCCTCTTCCAGTGCAAGTGCCGAGTATGTGAATCATGTGAACCGTGTGATGTAGGGCTATGCTCAGGTTCAAGAACACGACTAAGTAGATGATGGCAAAGTAGATGACGTGTGAGAGCACGGGTATGGTTCAATGATGAGCATTGGGCGGCTGAAGTGACACAACTTTAATATCAAAGGTAAGTAATCAATCATGTTCTTCATGCTGACGACAAGCATGAACCCTGGGGTTTCGGATGATGGAGGTGATGGCGATGCTGAGCACTCCTTCAACACCGGAATTCTTTGTTTCGGGGGAAGTGATAGTGAAGGTGAAGGTGATGCTGCTTCGATGATTGTGATGATTTCGATGATGAAGATGACGGTGATGATGATGATGATGACGATGATGGTGATGCGGCGGTGGGGATGGTCATGATATCGATGTCGGTTGTCGCGATGACGGTGATGGCGATGATGGTGCTGATGGTTGTCGTGATATGGTTTCCGACTGCGGAGATGATTCAGCGATGATGATTATGACGACGAATATGACATGAACATGATGGCGGTGGGGGGTGTTGATGGTGATGATGATGATGTTGATGATAGCAGGTGATGGCGATGATGGTGATGATCAGGTTGGTGATTGTGGTTCCGGTAACAATGATGGTGATGCTTTCCGCTGTTTGGTGGCAGCGCGACAGTGCTTGCAGTGCAGCCAGTGTTACTGCAGTATTCTTGACGGCCAGTAGGACTGAGAAATGTTGAGCTGCCGAAGCTCATGACTTGACTGACGGAATCGGGCTGATTGCTTTGACGCTGCGAGGGATATCCTAACACCTGGATTCTGCCGCTCAAGTTTCAGCTTTTAAGAGCTTGTAGAAGCCAACGAGAAACATAATGCTTGGGGCGCTTAGCTTCTACATTGAGTATGCGGCCGTGGCAGCATCTGTTTGTTTTCTCCTGTCACCGCTTGTGGAGGTGCAGAAGGTGCATCGCTCCCAGGGCAAGACGCTGAGGGATGTTGACCCATCGAACCTACTCCTCATGCTTGTCAACTCTGCGCTTTGGCTTTGGTATGCCATCTTTGTCCCGCTTCCCCCTATGGTGGTGAGCAACACCATTGGAGTGACAGCAGGCTGCTACTGCTTGACTAGCTGCTGGTTCTATGCACGTCAGTGCCGTGAGCAGACATGGGGCACAGCCGCAGCCGCCAGCACCGTCCTGGCATTCATGGCAATCTTCCTGGCCCTCGTCTATGCGGCAACGTCATTCTCTCATGTCCAGCAACTGGGATATGTCGCCATGGCAGTGAACATCCTCGCATACGGAGCCCCGCTCGCAGTGGTGAGCCGAGTGCTTGTTGAGAAGTGCTCCCGGGCACTACCACCTGCGCAGTGCATCCTGGCACTTTCCTGCAGCTTCCTGTGGCTTTGTGTGGGTTTGACCGAGCAAAGCATGCCCCTGATACTCCCGAATGCATGCGGCGTACTTCTTGCGATCCTGCAACTTTTCCTCATTTGGTTCTATCCTCGTAAGGATCGTGACGAGTCGTTGAGCAACCAGGGGCTTGGGAGGACACTGCTTGCCACTTCACAGTGTGGCACGAAGCAAGGGATGCTTGACAACCTTAAACAGGCTCCGAGCACATGGGAAGTCCAATACATGCAATCTTTCCGCCACAGCCGACATGACAGGCGCCATGGCCGTACTTCTACAGGAATCCCGAAGCCCACGCCAATGTTGCTCGTTGGAATATGTACAGATGCAGACTGAAATATCCGAACCAGGGCGTCCTAAAGGGGATGATTCCAGCCTTGGTAGCGAATTCCTACTGCACGGAAACTGCAACTTTCCGTGGTTGTGCATAGATACATGATGATACATGTCTAGGATGTGCATTCGCCGTGCCGCGATGTGCAGCATATCAGCCATTGATTTTTCTTCAAGCTTCACACCCCCGCGATGTGCAGTTTACCCTTTTGGCTCTCTGCTGGCAAAATCGAAGGGTAGAAGCTTGCAGAAAATCACGGCTGGAAGTAATTCGTTTAAAGCGCCGACAGGAGCCGACCCTTCTGGGATTCTTCAGTAAAAGTCATGCGAAAAGGCGCAGTTTGCAGCTCCATCCGGCGTGACATTCGGGATTGGAATCTGGCTTATCTCTCCTTTGACTGATAGAAGACACTTGTTCATTATCAGAGGCCGTTCAGTGCGACCGTTGATGGTGACAATTACGAGTATGATGATGGTGATCACGATGGTCTTGCTGCAGATGATGATGAGGAGGGAGTGGTGACAACGACGGGATTCGCATCGTCAACACTGTGACACACTGCGATGCTTGGGGCCTTGTTTTGGTTCCGCGTGGTCAAACCTTTAAAACCGCAGGTACTTCGATCCTTCCCATGGCCAAGCCAAGAAGAGATCACCTCGCGGAAAGGCCCGGCACACGGCGGCAGCATGTCGGCTGCTTTCCGATTCAAAGCTTTCCGCAGGCTTGATCTCTGTAGCAGCTTTGCAGGCAAACTTCCGAGGGAATTAGGATGTTAGGGCTTGCTGGGAAGCCTCGAAGTTACCGTCAAGGGGTGTCTCTTCGATAAACCATCCGTGTGGCTTCTCCCGGACGTGCAGCAGTTGGCTCCAAAATCTCCTCATGTGAAAGCTGCTTGGCCTGTTGCTTATTGCCAGGAATTGTTTCTACCTTCCGTTCAGTCCAGACCAGATCTGTCAGGGTTTCAGACGAGGCAATTCAAAAACTTCGAACACCTTGCGCCAGGAAAGCTCAGAGCCATTGCCATCCGCCTAGCATGTCCAGCATCAGTGTGCCGCCATGCCCAGTCAGACAGCCTGATGCCTTTGTCCGTTGATTCCCTCGACTGCTCTGCATGATTCAAAGTGAATCGGAAACACCTGTGTTATGTCCACCTTCTTTGGCATACTGGAAGTTGCTCGAAAGCCGCATGCTTGCGGGATCTTGCAGTATCCCACGCAGCGCTCTTGCAAGTCTCTCCTAGCAAGATCGCACGATCCGTCCATCTCTGGCTGTACTATAGGCCTATATAATTACCTATGATATTTTCGGTGTTCCTTATTATGATTGTAGTATATTGGACCCCCAAACCCTATTCTAATTATTAAGTCTGCTCTAATAAACCCTTACAGTAGCCCTTATCGTAACCCGTATAGACCCTATTCTAATATTAAGGCCCGTATATTTGAACCCTTATAGTAGCCCCTTTAAAGGAGCCCTATGGCTTCTTCTCGTGGTTCGCCTCGAAGCTTCAGGTTGCCCGGCTTTTTGCGGCGGGGGCCGACAAAAACACCGGAGATGTCGAGAAACTCATCAAGGCGCGATCCCCTAAAAACCCAAAACCCAGGCCCACGTAAAGGGTCATGGGACTGAGTAACTAGGTTGTAATTAGGGTATCTATACTTATAACCCCAATTAAGGTACTTATAACCTTACTTACTAAGTCCCATGATCCTCCAAGCAGGCCCAGTTGTCTGTCCGGTTCTTGGTAGGGAATGGATACTGGGGACTATTATGGGGGGTTATATAGGGATTACTTTAGGGATCCATTCCCCCATTCCCTACTGAGCACCGGGGAGTTGTTGTGGGCGGGGATTCGGAACCCGCTGTTATAGAGTTCTGCCCAGCTTTGGGTTCTGAGAAAATTGACTCGCAAGTGCTTCTATCCAGCATCAGTGCTGTCGTCCTCGAAGCAGCAGCAGGAGGAGCAGTAGCAGTAGCAGTAGCAGTAGCAGTAGCAGTAGCAGTAGCAGTAGCAGTAGCAGTGGCAGTAGTAGTAGTAGTAGTAGCAGTAGCAGTAGTAGTAGTAGTAGTAGTAGTAGTAGTAGTAGTAGTAGTAGTAGTAGTAGTAGTAGTAGTAGTGGTAGTAGTAGTAGCAGTAGCAGTAGCAGTAGCAGTAGTAGTAGTAGTAGTAGTAGTAGTAGTAGTAGTAGTAGTAGTAGCCCCAGCGGTAGCGGTAGCAGTAGCAGGATTAGTAGGAGTAGTAGGAGGAGGTATTCATTCATTCACGTCGCTGTACTGGGTCGATGCATCGCGAAGGACAGGTTTTCAACATCCGGCAGCTCTGGGGCCGCTTAGCCATTTGGCTAATCCTGTGGAGCTATGCCTGATAAAGTTCTGTGGCGAGCAGCACTGACAATCAAAAGACAACAAGCACAGAGAATGGATTGGTCATGAAAGAGATACATCCAAAAAGCCTCAGTCCTTCTTGTCGGGAGGTAGAAGTAGTAGTAGTAGTAGTAGTAGTAGTAGTAGTAGTAGTAGTAGTAGTAGTAGTAGTAGTAGTAGGAGTAGTAGTAGTAGGAGTAGTAGTAGTAGTAGTAGTAGTAGTAGTAGTAGTAGTAGTAGTAGTAGTAGTAGTAGTAGTGGTAGTGGTAGTGGTAGTGGAAGTGGTAGTAGTAGTAGTAGTCGTCGTAGCAGCAGCAGCAGCACTAGTAAACTAGTAGTGGTAGTAGTATGTAGCAGACGCTGTGGTAGTACTTTTTTCTGTCATGGTATTACAGTTGTTGCTGGTTGTTGTTTTGTTGTGTGGCAGCTGTGACCCGTGTGGCGGTGTTCTTGGCACTAGCGAGGTTCATCGTTGTTTCACCTTCGAATGAGTTTCCACAGCCTGAGACACAAAGCTGCAAGAGGTAAGAGGTGTTGCTGGCCTCGCTTAGTTTAGTGCAGGAGGATGACGAACTCCGGAAGGCTGTCAAGCTGCTGGCTCAGTTTCGTCCTTGTTTGAACCGGCCGGGCTTGAGGCTTCAGGTACT